AGCTGTTTTGAATCAGTTTCTTTCTGCTGCAGTGAACATTGCAGGGAGGTGGTTAACATCTCCTTGGAGTGTGTTGTTTACGGACATGGGCAGAACCCCAGGAGGGAGTTCTGGCAAAATTACAGGGCCTATGTGCCAGGAAAGACTGCAGCATCATCCTCACTGATCAGCACCCAGAGGACTGTTCTACTCCAAAAACGTAAATGGGTGTTAGCAATCTCTCTGCTGATATTGGAATCATGATTTGAGAATGGAGATACAGCAGGAGCTATTTAGGACTCTGGTAGCCAAACTCTTACAATGATGCCCCAATTTAAGCTGTATCTGTCACTAGCTGCCTAGTGAGTGAAATCCTCTCAGGAGAGGCTGAAGATCGAGGCATGCATCAATGCCACACTTGTGCCCACAGTGATGCTGGGCCTTGATGGCCAAGAGGATGGCACACATTCCCTCATGCCTCTCTCATGGGAGCGGAGCAGAGGAGGCAGCAATGCTGGAGCACTGTATGTACTCTTTGAACATGAAGCTCTGCCTCTGCCCTTATCCTCACAACTCAGCAAGTATCAACAAAGCTGGTCCTGGCACCAGCTGCAGCATCCCAGGAATTGATACTCACTGTTGTCATGGCTGAACTGCAGTTACCTGAGGAGCCCCAAGCTACCTGCTGAGCTGTGTAGGAGATTCTTCATTGACTACAGAAATCCAAGGCAAAGTGTGTGACCACTGATGATTCTGTGGCACCAGCTGCAGGCTCAATTTGGGCTGGATGCCAGTCTCTGAAATTCAAGTTACTTATGTCAGAGTGCCACAGAGAAGCATGGCTCAACTCCTGAAGTGAGAAAATACTGCTGTGAAAGCACCATGGCAGTAATGAAAGAAATGCACAGTGGTTTGTTTCGAAGAAGACAAGCTGGTACACACCAATATATTTTCACCTTTTTAAGACTGCACAGTGGAAAAATATCAGATGTTCATGATGCTTTTGATTGCTGCAGTTATTTTGGTTAAATATTTTCAAAATAGTGTAAGTCATACTTTTAAATCACTTTATTAATCATTTTGCTTGTTTTAAGAAGTGCTCCTCTGTGCCCACAAAGTGTCAAGATCCAGTGGCTGTCTGTTTTAGCAGTGGAACTACAGCACCTATGGTATTGGCCTCACAGTAAGTGGAAGGTATAGATAACACTTTAAATCAGACATATTTCTATAGCTGGTCACACAGCAAAAGGAAAAAACCATAAGATTTTTTACCAGAAGCTTTTGCTTTAATACTTCAAAACCAGCAATTGCTTTACATCCCCAAAAGTGTGTGGGTTTATTTTTATAAATTGAAGGCAGTTTAGAGAATGTAGCAGTCATATAGTCACTGATTTCTTTTTAACATTAACTTCTGGTAAATTCTTCACTGTGTATAGTTAATAGATTGCCCATGAACTGAACATTAGCACGAGTTTATGAAGTCTGTACCATAAAAGGGAAAAAAACACGAGTCTTTTAAGCTTCTGAATTCACGGGTGTCTGGATTAGACACATCTCCTGCAGAAACAAAATGCTGATAGTTCAAAGTCTTTAAATTTATAAAGCAATGTTTATAAAATTGATATGGCAGAGCGCTTCACTCTGACAGGCAGAGAATAACAAATGAGAAAATACCAAACTAAAAGTAAGTAACAACAAAAAATACTCATCACTAACAACAAAACCCCAGCAATCTCATACATATATTCATACAACACCATGTTCTGAGATGGTGTTAGCTTGGCTGTCAGTATAATTTTTCCCTTAGAAGAACACAACATCAGTCTATCCAGCTGACATCCTCACTATGCTGTGACTTACTCCTGCTCAGAAATTCACACTTTTCTGATTGCCATTTACCCAAGAAAACCACTGATGGATTTGCTTCACTGGCACATCCCTTGTTGATATGTTAATATTTGCCTCATTCCTGCCAAATAGAGACTGTGGAACATTTCCTTCTGTACCAGGTACTGGCTGGACTTGACTTTCTCAGATATATTTTAGAATACCTGAGACACTGGCTGAGTGAAGTCAGCTTGAAGCAGCATTTTTCACCATGATACAAGGGGCATATGTATTTGTACACAAGATACCACACTTCAACCCAAGCATTGCCTTTAAGGTAAGCGAGGAGAGTCCAGCAACAAACAGCTCTGTTCTCTCTATCTGGTCTTGCCCAGGTTTTCATTTCCCCTGGCACTGCACAGGAGCAGCATGCAGCACAGTTAGTTATAACTTAAACCACATAGCGATCAACCAGTAAGTTAAGTAGTGAGCACTGCAAATACGTACCCTCAAACAAGAACGTATTTGCCATCCAGAGTTTCATTGTATACTCTGCTCTGGATTAGACTGCACAAAAACTGCAAACATCCACTATTAGGCCTAAAAGTGAAGTACACGAGAAATTGTTCTGGGAATTGTGGAGCACTTTGGTGGTAGTATTAGAGTAAGTGACAATAGCAGATGAATGAAAATTTCAGTTGCCTGCACCGTGTAATTCAAAGCTAAGGAGTGAAGAGGCAGCAAGGTTGAATTTCTTTAACAAAAGGCACCAATATTATATTCTCTTGCATCCTCCACACACAACTCTTCATAATTTGAATGAGACTACCATGTTTCATTTTGCATGGAATGACTATATCACCATCATCATGTTCATTAATTGCTTGAAATTGCTAGTTGATGTTAGGCTGTGTTGAAGAACAGCCAGTTGTAACACTTACAGAGCATCTAAAAAAGTAGCCTTATGGTTTACTTGTTTTCTACTGAAACTGCAAGAGAAACTGTAAAGCTTTCAAGAGCAAAAAACTTTGGTGTGTTGAACTGATTGTAAAATGATGTAGATTGTTTTGAAGAAGAAATTAAATGTAACTAACTGCTGCGTGTTGGTGATAGCAAGTACAGAGCTAACTGCTTTTAGGACACAATGTTTTGTTCATATGCTTTATAAGCTGGATGCAGAGATGGTTAATTATCTTTTACAATGAAGATGAGGCCTCACCGGTTTCAGAATTTTGTCAAAATTTACTTTTTTAATTCTAAATTTTCTGGAGTCTGTCAGGTTTTCCTATAACTGTCTTCTGTTCTCTGCCAACTGCCTGTCAAATGCAACATAAACCTCCCAGGTAAGCAAAACCAGAGCATCCTTTTTGGTGTATTTGATCAAAACAGTAAACCAAATACCCATCTCACCTTCATTTTATTCCAAATATACAATGACATAACAGTAACTCAGACCATGTATTTCTCAACATTAGAAATCTTAAGTATTAGGAACAAAGTCAGAATAAATATTTAGGGGTACCTTAAGCATTCTGGTTTTTTCAGATTTACGTTTAATGCTATACAGTTCAAATGGAATGAACAGGACTTAGTAAAATTTGTGGTTTTAGGTAGAAAGAACCCACAATGCATGAATACAGTAGTGAATGGGGCATAGCAAATAGATGGCTGCCAAGTACTTGTTCTCTCTTTCCCACTAAGCTATACATTCAAAAGCCTGCAGCACTGTGCGAGTGCTGGGGACCCAATCAACCCTGATGTGATGGAAGAATGGAAAGTGCAAAAAATAATGATGATGGTCAAACCTGGCTCTGTGGGAAAGCTGTTGCCAGGGTATGATGTCAAGCCATCATAACTCTGGTGACTAAATCGCTTTCTCTTCATAATCCCTTTACATTGAAGAGGTTTGAAAGCTCTAATATGGAGTTGTACCCTGTACCATCATTCAGCAGTGAATGAAAGCAAAGAAATGAGTGATACTGTCCTAAACTGAGCATGCAAAGCAAGCAGTTGGACTTCCCTGTTGTGCCATCATGAAGGTAGATGGCCCACTGCCAACTGACAAGTTACGTGTTGAATGTTAAGAAAATGATAGAATTGTTGACTTAAGGAAGAGTGGAAGTGAATGTTGGTTCCTGGTATTAACAAAACCGATGAATCAGATTCTAGCACCCAATCAGTTTGCAATATTGGTTAGGATTTTTAGTATTTTTCTTTCAGTTCTTAAGTTTCCCCATCCTGTTACTTTGGAGTAAGACCCTGGGGTCTTACTAACTTCATTACATGTTTGCATAGTACGATTATAGATGAAAACAGCATCTTATTTTGTATTGCAATTTCCTCGCTTCTCCTATAGATGGAGTTTGTTCAACAGTTGCCAAAAACTGTTAGCGGGGAGATCAGAAGATACGAACTGCACCAGGAGCAAAGATTAGACGTGCTTGTTTCTTTTTATAGTATTTTTTAATCAAGTAAGACATTGCAGATTTACCCAGTAACATAAAGTAAAAGATGCTATACTATATCCTTCATAGTTTAGGTTTGAATAAATTCTTACCTGATTCCCAGCATTGGCTGTCCAAGATGCTATACTAATAGGAAATAGTACAGAAGGAGGTAGACTGAGGATACAAATGAAATAGGAAACTCATATAGTCTCAGAGTCAAGGCGATGGGTAAATAAAGTATTTAATGAAATGCCACCAGCATTTTATCTTTATTGTTACTTAAAGGATAAAAAAAACCAGTAAGAGTTTAGGAGAACATTATTGCTTCAAGAATCCCTTTAGAGAAGTGCGACAACTTCTAAATACGTTTTTAAGTTAGTTATAACCATTACAAGTGTATTTAGAAAAAAGTATAAATGAAAGCTCCATCATTACTAGTCCAGACCTTAAAGAACATTTTAAAGAATTTAAAATACATAATAAAACAGAGATTTAAGATTTGTAGCAACAGCTGCTTATACTTTAATTTTAGCACTTAATAGTTTTATCTGTTCTCTCACGTCACTAATGAGATACTTTGATATATTGATATTTTTTATGCTTGATTAATTTCCATTTCTGTGTTAACCAAGCAGTATAATTTTTGTCCCATTCTTAGCACATGTATCTGACATCGTTTGACTGTCCTGATTATATTAAGCATGATCAACTTAGAGCTTAAGATTTGGACAAAAAATTTACCACTTTCTAAGTTCGCATAGAGGGTCTAAGACACAAATACTTTTTATTGGAAGAATTTCCTAAACTATTAGCAACAGTTCTGAGAGAGGTCGAAGCATCTGCATTCTGGCCAGGACCATTAGATTTCTCTTTTAGAAGTGCATGTTCCCACTGGAAGTATCCACAACCTTCCTTACTACCTTCGTGCTTGCCAACAGGACAACAGAAAAAAGCTTTGCCATGATTTGGACCAGCATTTGACACATACAGTTTTTTAGCTCTTCGGCCACAATTACACAGAGGGGGAGTTAGTTTTCCAGTTTTCACAGCTCTTACAGACTGATTCAAATTGACTGTGGAGTTCAGAATGGCAGGAGACACTCTAGGCAAATTTGAACTTCTTAGAGGTAAGGAACAATCAAATGAGGCAATTTTCTCTTGATATATAGCAAAAGGCATTTTTTTCGCTGGTGGGAACATTTTTGGACTAGTTGGCTTTCTTTTAGGAATCTCTGAAGGAGTAGAATAACTTCCAGTTACTGCTGATAGTGTCAAAATAGTATTTACCCTTGCAGATGGTAACTTAAAAGCTGAGAAATCTGAAGTCTGCCTTTGTACTGTTCCTACATTACCAACAGTAGCATCAGGACTTTTGTAAACAATTGATTTCAGAGGTCCCACAGGTACTTCAGTTTTCTCCAGACTTTGATTAGCTGAACTCATTACAGCTGATTGTTTCAAAATTGATCTTTCTTCAGACACTGTTAAAATATCTGTACTGGAGTCATCTTCGAATTGAACACAGTCTGAATTCTCTTCATACTGAGATTCTGGTATTAAAGCAACATCTTCCCAGTCAGTCAGCAGAGATAAGCAATCAGAACTAGTACTGGTATCCTCATTGGAGATATTGACTGAGGAGATGGTAGTGGAGACAAGCACTAGTCCTGGTCCATGTACCGGAGGGTTGTATCTGGCTCTACTCAGAAGTTGCCCATTGTTCAATCCTTGCCGAATGCCTGTTGATACATTGCTGGTAGTTTGGCGTGCCCGCTCAAGAGGAACAGGAAATTTGTCAGTAGATGCTGTTGAAGAGCTTTGGGACTGAGCAGCTAATTCAGCCCTTGAGTTGCCACTAGGTACAAAGAGGACAGCTGCAGAGGAATCAGTGCAAGTGGTCTGTTGTTCCTCAGTTTGTACAGTAGAATTTATCTTAATTTCAGCAATACCATTCCGGTTTTTCTCAGCCAGAGAGTTTGTTTTGCAAATTCCATCTCTAGATGCTTCAGGTCTGCAGTTACTTCCCAGTGGAGTCTTGTCAGTGGAGTTTATAGTCAGTGTTCTGGAAATTAAGTTATTTTTCATATGTGCCTAGGGAGTCCGTAAACAAAAAGACATTTTGGAAAGTGAATATCCAGAAGTTTTAGGAATCAGTGCACAAAATTAATAAATGTAGCACCCTAGGGATGTTCTGTTCAATTCATAGTCAAGATGCTGGCTTTATTATTTGAGCAGCTCACCTTTCATCTGTATTCCAGGCTACAAAGCAAGTAGAAGATACGAAGTACTTACTAACCTTACCCAAAGATTTAGTAACCTTCAGCACACATCCATCACAAATCAGCCTCCAAGCTAGATGGGCAGTATTCCGAGAATCATCTAACCCTGCAAAAGTATGGTTATATTTATGCTTTATTTTTAAACTACTACTGGGGATAGGTTCTTGTTAGAGGAAAAGCATAGTCTAGGTAAGCCTTACATAAATGATAGGGATTCACAGAACTCTTGACACGTAGTTACCTAGCTCAAAAACGAGAAGTGGAAGTGAAAAACTCCAGAGAATTCCCTGCGCTGTAATGTCTGAAGGACCAGCCTATACAGCTGAATATACATCCACAAGTTTTAAAATCCTTGCTGTATTATTAATCATGCAAAACCCATCATACCGTACTGGTATTCTCTTACACTAACATGCTGCCCAGATCTATCAGGTAAAATCAAGTTTCCTTATCCTCCCGCTGCTTCAGAAATTGACCTTGTTGAACGTGCACTCAAAGGCACAAGGGGAAATTACAGAAATAAAGCAGGAGGTTAGCAATAACAGACTCATATCTTTGAAGCATCAGGCTGTTCTTGTTCTGATGTTTTTATTGGACAGAACGTTGTATATCCTGGAAACAATAGTTACTGTTTAGAGCAATGACTAGCTATTACTAGCTGCTTTAGTTTCACTAATAAAGCTAAATAGTAGCTACTAAGCTTTATGAAATATATATATATATTAAAATGAGGATCATCATATCATACTTACCAGAATGTTCCCGTCCTGCAAAAGCTATCCCCAAATCCTGCAAAGCACCATTTAGCCCTTTAGGCTTCCTGTTATAGAAGGCCTAAGGAAAGAAACACAGGTGCTTAACATAAAGCATTTCAAAACCTCTTCATAGTGAAGTGAAAACCATATCAGAAATAGCAAGGCAATTGTGCAGGTCGGGTATCTTCATTTTACAGTTGGGATAAATAAGCCTAAGCCTGTAAATGACTTATCCTGTAACAAATTAGAATGCAAAGAATCATGAATCTGTTCTCTCAGTCTTAAACTAATCCATTCTGTCTTAGCTCTGGAGTCATTCATTTGCACTTTATGGCTTACATTGAAGGCCTTAACAGAGCAGCATTGAAGAATACAACTATAAATAATATCTTGAGATGTTTAAGCTGTTCCATATTGCAAAGGCATGGGCACTGATATATTTGGCATAGGTATAATTTTTTTTTTAAGTGAGAAACAGCAAATATTGCTACTCACTCCCAGTATCTCATTCGATCACAAAAAAGGGGGAATACTTACACTGTTTATCTCTATTAAATTCTGCTACCTAGGTTAAGAGCCTAAGCTCCAAGTGTCAGTACAGGTTAACTCCTGGATCACCCTTCTAAAGTTTACTTGACCACACAGGGAAAGGTACACTTCAGTGCTGTCAGCCCCCAGGCTGGAACTTTGTTGCAGTATGGACTATGTAATCAAATATACATTCAGTATTATTCATTCTATTCAGAATACACTTTCTGGACCAAGTGCAATTCACATACCAGGCCTTTAAGTACCTCTAAACAGATGCTGATGACTATTTTCTACACAGCAGTGTAAGGCAGCAATAAAGCACACAATACGAGCAAGCAGAGCAAAAGATTTCAGGAAAGGAAGAGGAGCTTGAAAAATTCTCCTCGGATAATTTATTTATCTAACAAGAGAGTTAATTTATCCAACAATAACGCCAGGTTGTTTTCCCAGCATTAAGATTTCTATTGAAATTCATGCAGTTCTAGGGCATGCAGTTTGTTATTGAGCAACAACAACATGGGAAGAAAACAACTGGGTTACTCTAGTCACTGGATTGTACCATACTGGCTTGCAACCTCAGATACAATTAGCTTTTGAGATGATAATGTGAGTATAAATGTTTGACAGTCTGTGGATCTTCTCACCCTGTATGTTGCTTTGAGATCAATCCAGGAATTTAAAATGTCAGGTTTTTGCAGCTGCTTCCTTTTACACTCATAATGCAAACACACACCCAGGTCCCAGTCTGCAAGGAAAAAACCCCACAAATAATCTGTCATTAAAGAACTGGCCTGAAATATGCATAAAGGGACATAACATCAACATAGTAGTAGCATCCTGTAGCACTGGACAGGAAGCACAGGCTAACGCAATGAAATCCCTAGGGTTGCTGCAGTGGGACATGAGGGTTAGTGAATGCCTGTTGTTAGCAGAGAATGACACCAGATGGGTAAAGATCTCAAAGATCTTACTAAATCATTTAGACACATTAAGAATGGTGACACAATGGTCTGTATGTAAAGCAGAAAAATATAACAGATCCTGGAGACAAAGATGTAGGGAACACATCAGGAGTCGGTGGATTTCATATTTTCAGCCTTACCCAGTATTGGACATCTTTAATACCTAATAACAGGGGTTTGACTCCCTGGAAGTGGAGACAAAATCTCACTAGAACCACCAAAAGTTAATCTTTTAATGTGTATTACTCCCCAGAGAAAGCAAATTAGAATTTTATTTACCTGTCCAAGTAACAAAGGTACATGCTTTTGCTTCTGAAGTAGAATTACTTAGGATGTCTGTACCAAATACAATTTTCTTCTCCATTTGTATCTTTTGAATCCATTTCGAAAACAGTGACAAACAAATGTTTAGGGGGACCCCTTCATCAACCTGATTCTTTATGAAATGGAACAAGAAGTATGTGTTAGTATGCACTGAAAGTCATTTGAGGTGTATTTCTTCTTAGCTCTTTAAAAGCCTCTTTAAAGAATGTAACAAATAGCAATTACACCAGTGTAAAATAATGCTAAAATAGTAATCGTACCTGTGTTATGCCAGTCAGTTCTGTGCAAAATTCGGAGAGAATAGGATGCTCCTGGGGCTGGACGTACGTGTGGAACTCAGATTCAATCTCTCCTGTTGATGTGTTCAACAGGACTGCTGGAAATTCGACTGTGACAAAAACAGAGCGAGGGAAACAAGGAAGGAAACAAACCAACCCCAAAGCCGGGGGGGGGGTGGTGGTGTGGGTGTTAGAGCCGTTCACGGCTGTCAGCCCGCTCGCTGTGGTCCGGGTAGACCTGTCAGCCACGCCAAGGAGCGTCCGGAGCGGCCCCCGGTGACCCCCCGCTCCTCC